GCGCCGGTCCGATCTCGCATCTCGTAACTTTGTACGTACGTATCGTACGGAGCGGCTAATTACTGATCTACGATCGGTCTGCGAACCCGCGGAGCGGCTGCAGGTACCGGGAAATCGCTGTTATTCCGCCGATCACACGCGGCAGATAGTATTATGTATCGAAACAATTTCGCCCGTCGTTTTATCTCGCGCTTCTATCCGCTCACGGCACTCGACCTTGTCGACTATCGTCGTCGTCATCCTCATTGTCGTCGTCGTTGTAGGAAGGTAATTCGCGGCGCACGCGCCCGGAAATATTAACCCGGCCGTTTTACTTTGTCATCTCCGGTTCATCCTGACTGTCAACGGGGCTACATTATGAATGCGGGCCAATTTAAAATTCATTACAAGGTGCAGGGGTCTCCTCCCGCTGCCGGCACCCCCTTGCCTGTCACTTCTACCGGCTTTCACGCCGCGCCGCGCCTTCGCGTGGTAGGGATAATTGTTCGTCACTGTAACGTTTCGAGAGCGCGCTGGAGTGTGCGAAAGCGACGGTGAGAGGAAGAAAGAGAATTAGATGTGGCCGAGAGAGAGGAAATGAGAAAGTGGAGGGAGAGTCGAGAAGAGCATTTATTATAGAGAAACAGAGAAGGTAGAGACGGCGTATAAGCAGCAGCCAATCTCCCCCGCCGCGTCCTGCTTGTTTATTTAAATAACGCACAGAGAGAGAGAGAGAGAGAGAGACAGAGAGAAGGGTTCAAGTCTGAAAATGGATGAACTACAAAGCCTCCGAAATCCGCTACGAGGAAAGTGGCACGCTCGCACTGAGCCGCTCTTGTGACAACGGAGAAAATCCACCTGCCATGTGCACGGGTACTGCCACTTTTCGAGAGATATCTTCTCTGCTTCCGCTTTTTCAGCTTTCACGAAAAAGGATGGAGGGCATTGTCCCTGTGTGCGTTCTTCCCGTTTACTGAGAAGTTTAACTTTAGGCCTGCTTCTCTTAGCCGCGCTCTTTCACCACTGGTTTTATGTTTGAAATATTAAAAAAAAAAAGAAGCGGGTTTTCTACTAAGTGATAATGTTTTTCAGCATCTTCTCTCTTAGTTGTAGATTACTTTTATTTCAAGAAATAGTATTAATAAACTTTCTTTCTCTCTCTCTCTCATAAACACGACGATTAATTTAATTTTATGTTCAATTATTTAATTAAATCTTTTCCTCTTATTGAAATTACGAATATTTACAACCTGCTGCCGAATTAGAGTTTCAACACCTGAGCCAACAAGCGGGCTTTTGCCAGTGTATAAATAAAAATGGTAGAAGCATTGAGAAGGTTCGGGGTGAGATTGGGGTGGGGGACGAATCAATCGCGCTTCCTGTCTCGAGGTAGCTTCTTCTTTATAAATGAGCGGAGTAAGGAGGGAAGGGACGAGTTCGGAGGCTGCAGTTTAGATATTCACCGGTTGATTACGGCCCCGACGGGGCCGGGGCTCGGCTCTGGTAGGGAAATCCCCGGGGGAGGACGCTAACTTGACAACTGACAAATTAGCCCAGCGTACCGACGACACTTGCAAAATAGGTCGACAAGAAGATGCCCCGTTTCGGTTTGAATTCGATGCCCGCCAGATGAGATTCGTGCAGCTAGTCGTCGAACTCAATTTTACTCGTCGACAGGGTGAATGATACGCTGGCGGACACCGGTTATCGGTCACACGAGATTAACTCTAAGCCCAACAATGCACAATGATTAATTTCAGCATATATGATCCAGATGAAATGAATAATAATCGGCATCGATTTTTAGTAAGTGTTACGTTTGACGTTATAACATTGTATTTTAGGTATTATATATAATGTGATCTCTTAGACATTCGCTACTATACTATAAGGGTACCTCTTCTTGAAATATTCAAACGCAATCGTGCTTCTGGAAAATCGACGGAAATCAAAATTGACGTTTCTCCAGGGGCGAAGAGACGCGTTTGCGATTCTGCGGAGCGGTTCCTTCGACGTGCGGACCCGTGGTTTTTTTCAAGTCCAGGAAATTCCTCGTTGGCGGCTAAGTGAATTGGAAATAAAAAAAAAAGAGAGCGCCGCGTGGGTCGGATAAATAACGTCCGTTGGCGATGTTCGCCGCGAGGTGACGTCGCTCCGGCAATACTTTTCACGTCGCCTCGACACGAGGTAGGGGGATTGTTATTCGTGCGGCGTAGTGCCTCGGTGTCGCTTTCACTAGAGTCGGTTACTGATAAACGAGCGGTTTCAACCCCACGCGTCGCCCCCTGAATGTAAACTCACCCTGCCTGCTCGACGCGCTTTAAGCTCTTAGCGCGGGTAAACGCCCGGTGTAAATCGTTTTCGAACGTAAACGATTGTCGACGACAGACCTGAAATTAATCGCCGTGATTCTGGTCTCCGAACGCCGAAAATGATTCTGTGAATGCATCTTGGGGTAGAAATAAATCCGCAGGCATTACGATGTCAGCATAAATTGGAAGCGTAATTAAATATGCATTAAAATGAATTTAATTGTAATTCTTCGTCATTTTTAATCATTCCATTGGGATTATATTTATTAAAGATAAAAAAAGATATAATGTAGCACATTATTGAAAATTATCAATTTAAATAAATAAATCAATAATACTGCTATTACTATTTTTTCTATATCATATAAAAGTATCTTGTTCAGAATTATGTAATCCATACAATAATAAATGATCAACAAATTTTATTAAATGAATAATTTTAGTTGATTCTTATTCTATTTTAAATGCTTGTTACTCGAAAACCTTATTTTCCTCATAAATTTGCAAACAGATTTGAGATTGGCGCAAAAAAATATTATAAAAATATTCTATTAGATTAATTTAATATTAAAAGAGTGAAATTTTGTCAAGTATAATTGTAACGTAATAATTTGACTGAAATATGAAATCATTCTAGAAGCGCATAAGTAAAGCTTCTGTGGGGATGTAGAAAAAATATGTATCGTCCTATCTCATCGTCCAGACCATTCTCTGGCAATCCCTAACAGCATTCGTCTCCGGCAGAATCGGGATTTACGAGCGGCGGCGGGCAAGACGTCGTACGCGACGAATCGCACGACAAAACCCAATGGCGTGCCCCGTGTACGTGAGCGGCCGAAGGTGGAACATCACGTTCTCGTACGAGTCCCCCCAGGGAACGATGTCTCAAACGACCATGCGGGACCCAAAACGCACCTGTACCAAATTCCTACGCCAGGAGAAGTGCTGTCCTATCGCCTACACTTCCGACCGGACAAAATCTTTCCAGTCGCACACGTATAAAACGATAAGTTTGTCATAGCCAATTTATACAATTGGCATTGCGGTGCGACACTTGCTATTTGGCGCTGGGGACCTACGAATTTATGGCTGATGTGCCGCCGCGCCTCGATCACGTCCCCTTTTCGGCTATAACGTGCCTTAATTTCGTTCGTAGAAAATAAATATTGTTATTTTAGGACACAAGAGAAGTATGTAAAGCAATGAAAAGGATTTTATCTATAAAGTATATATGTTAATAAATTAAATTTATAGTAATGTAAAGCATGAGAATAAATTACTATGGAAATAAAGAAAGAGATGCAAAAAATTCTAAATATTTCGTTAATACAAAGAACATAATTATTGAAAAGTCAAGCACTTTCGAATCTTATTTTCTTATACAAATATTATGTTAATGTAAAGAATAGAAATGGTCAGTAATAACCGCTTGTGTATAGTATTGATAGTAATCAAGTCATAACCAAAATGTATCAGTTACATTAATAAAGATAATACACGAAACGTTTACCCTTCATCTTTACAGCCCTTGCTCTGCTTGCATTGTGGAGGACGATTGGTATTCAGTCCGGCGGAACCCTTGGTTTCATGTAACAGCATCGGGGACATGTGTCAGCCAGGACGATTGGTAGTGAGGGTCGGAAATGGCTGTTTAAAATTGCATCTACGGCCTACCGTTAAGGGCACGTGCGCTTTTTAATGTCCCGAGGAATGCTTACGATAATGTCCTTTAAGCTTTTATTAACGGTTATCAAGGTACGTGGCCCGAATGGCCATGGGGCTATTCTCACGCGACAACGTGAGCCAACCTCGATCCTTTATCCGTAACATTTTTGCACATTCCTTTATTCCATTTTCGATCGAAACTATTTGTTCGCGAGAAGTTTTAAATATTAGTCATCTAATTTTTATGTTAATATCTCTACATTTTTGACGGCGAGTTAAATTAAAAAGAGATGTGTTAAATTTAATAGCTAATAATAAATAAATGTAAAAATAGACGACGCGCTTTCTTCATGACTGCGTGACATCGAATAGTACGCGTAGGCGATCTTTCTACTCATCTTTGATCCATTATGCCATTAACGGCGCCGGAGGGTCTTGTGTCTCATGGGAAGGAAAGTTTTGCCAATGATTAACCGAGGTCTAGTTCACGCTTTTGTTGGGTTAACTCACCTCTATAGAGTTATTAAGAATAATTATGACTTAACACGAGTCAATATATTTTTTACTATAAGCCGAGTTGTAATTCATGCTTGATATAAATAAATTGTAATATAACATTGACAACAAAAATAAAAATGTATAAAAAGAAAAAAATAATACATAGATATAAGAATAATTAATAATATTTAATTAATATCAATTTAAAATCTATTTAATTAATTAATAGTTTTATTAATATGTTATTAATTACAGCATTTGTAATTTATTAAGCGTAAATTTAGCTTAAACATAATAGTAATAATTTCAATTTAAATTATGATATTTTAAACTTGTTCAGAAAAAAGTTTTTTTCTTCAAAAAATAAAATAATTTTTGTAATTAACTTTATGAAAAATAAAACTTAGTATTAGCAATGATGAGTGAACGCAATATTGCCTCCACTCGCATTTCTATTCAACGATAAACAAAATACGACAACTCAGACGAGAATACAGGCAAGAGAGGTAGATCGTTCTAGCTCGGTTTCGGTGGAAGACTATTTGACAAGCTTGTCAATAAGATCCTTTGGTAATCGTGGATCAAACAGATCCAGGAAAATTTATCATCAAAATTCATCTAGTATAATATATATCAAACTATGTACGTGTATTCTTCATATTCGAGGGGTGCGATGCTACGGCGACAATGTGACCTAACTGTACGAGGGTTGCTTAACTTTAGATCCCGAAGGAATTTATTTGCCGGTCAGTCACCCTAAATGTCAGTGCAATCACGTGTCACTATTATAAATACATGATGTGAAATACCATACATTTGATCCTTCAAATTACAAATGGAATTTATAATACAAATTTTTTGTTTACGTAGCATCCGCCTTGCATTTTAACGAGAAGACTATTAGTGGACGAGATGGATTCTTCACTTGGCTGAAGGACATCTTTAATAAATCCGCAAGTAAGCCGTAATGCTGATGTCATTTTGGGACAAAGGTTATGTTTGCCATTTATTATTACATAATGTTATATAATATGCAAAAATTAAATTGTACAATTCATGATGTTACACGCGTGTTTCTCACTAACTATTAATTTATTAAAATGATATTATAATTACAATGATTAATTATAAAAAAAATAATCTACCTAATTTACAACAAAAATTTTCCTTTATCTTATGACAATGTTATATTTAATGTTATATTTTATTATGTTATATTACTTACATTGCGTATAATATATTTAATAAATTTGTATTTCATATTTTCAATAGAAAAATGATTTATTAACGCACGTATAAAATTAATATTATAATTAGAGTAGATTTTAAAAGGTGTACAGCATAATTTACTTTTAAAAGGTTATAATACAGTCTTTAAATTTTATCACGTAATATCTGATGATGTAAGTGGAAGAAATATTATGTTGCAGAGGATAAAAGCCGCAAGACTGACACCGCGATCGTTGATCGTGCAGCAACGGCAACAACATTCAATCGATCAGAAAAGCGGCCGGCGGATTCTTCAGACAAGGTCGACATCGTTAATCAAAAACTGGCTAACTTTTGCACGGCGCGGTCGACGACGAAGTTCAAGTATGGGAACATCCGTGCTGAGAAGCGTGACGCGGAGAACGGTGGACGTGCGTACACGATTCAACAGTCGGCAATCTACACTACGTCGCAGTCGAATCGTTTTGCGGCTGAAAAAACTTTCGAACGCGGGATAGAACCCGACTCTTCATGGCGCGATCCTGGCAAGATGTATCGATCCGAGAGAAACTGCGGCGCGATCGAATTTGCGGCAAGAGACGATCTCGATGTGACCTCACATTATCGTTGTTACATGAGCCCGAGACACTGTTATCGCCTGCCACCGCAGCGGACAAAACAGCCGCTGATGGGATTGTGCGCCCCGAATAGATACATCGGCATGCCATCGCGCGCGCTCGTGGGTTTCGCTCCTAGGAACACAAAGCCACCCATCAAAGAGCCTAACGCGCCCGAAAAGCATGAGAAGAAGGACGAGAAGAAGGACAAGAAGGAGAAGAAGAAGCCAGTAATACGTACGGACGGCGAATCCGTCGATAGTAGCGAGAACCGAGCGGAGATGGTGGCGGACGATAACCCGAGGAATGACCCCGACGCAACGTTTCGTTACGAGTGGGGCGTGAAACTCGCCGAGGAACAACCGGCCGCCGAGGCGGCGAGCGATAACGATAAGTTCGCCGAAAAGGGTCAGCAATACGTCACGAAGCAACTTTGGGGAGTGAACTTGATACAACCGAAGCCGGATATCGCTTCGCCAGCGACTGCGAGTTCCGAGCGAGACACGGAGAAGTCTCGAAACGCCTCTTCGAACTTTGAGAGTGGCGATATCACGACCGATGCTGGAGCAAAGACCGATGCTGTTCCAATGCCAAACGATTCGGCGAAGAAGTCGAGCCTGAAAGGTACAACCGCGGACTATCTCTCAACTCCGTCGCGTCAGACCGACTCGAGTGACGATGTTATTGAGGTGCAAAATGATAGCGATGATACGAGCTCGTATATGAATTCAAAAGAGCTTCGAAAAATCATGAGAACATCGCCGAACATATTGAAGGAGACGATAATCGTCGATAAAGAATACAACGTTCCGGAAGGAGCGGATTTAGACACCGAGATCAAGGCCTGGCAGAATCTCGGGGCGAGATCAGCTCCGGAAGTCAAAGAGAATTATTTATCATCTGACGAGGAGAACCTAGAGAATCTGGTATCCATCCGTCCGGAAGCGCCACAGCCGAAGTTGGACGTACGAATTGTAAGATCCACTGAGGACGATTTAAAAGATAAAGAGCAACCGAATTCTGGATACGCATCTCCAAAAGCCGTAGAGATTAAACAAGTTGGATCTTCGCAAAGACCGGACGGTCACTTTACCGGCAAGAAACTGCACACTATAAGCACGCAGATTCGTTATATACATAGGAATAATATCACCCAGCGATACGTTGAACCACTTTTAAGTAATTCTGCTCCTTTCAGTAAAAATATACGGACAAAATATCCAGGACTCATCTCGGCCTTCTCTACGAATCCTGAAGATTCCATGCAAAAGGAATCGGTGAGCCAAAATGAGAAAAACTCTAACGATCCAACCGATTCGAATGATACGCCAAACAGCAACCGATCTTCTTTATCTATAGAATCTCAAAAACTTTCAAGTAGCGATCAGGAGCAAGCTGATCTTGCAGAGACGCTAGACATGATCGCGGACAAGGAAATGGAGATTTCTATAAATCAACTGCGAAGTCGTAAAAAGAATGCTCATCTCTCAGATTCTATCGTGTCTTCTGAGTTTACGCAAGAAGATAAATCTCGTTATAGAGATGAGGAAGCACAGGAAGAAACGGAACGCTACGAAAAGTCACACGTTAAGTACGAAGATAAAAACGCTACGTACGTCGAGTTCAACAATCAATCAACTAATAGCGAATCAGTCAAGTCGGACGCGATCAAATCGACCAACGAAGACTCAAACAACAATAGTTCTACCTTTGACTCAAACGTGAAAGACGCAGACGATGATCTGAAGAAAGGCATCCTCGATGGCGATTATGTACGATTACCCGGCGATCCTTACCCTTACAGCAGGGAACACTTAGAAAAATGGCGCGTGCCACGTTCCAGAAGTCTCATTCATAAGTCATGGACGCGAGAAATGTCTCGCTCTTCCGATTCTTCTACCGTCGTGCAGTCAACCCTGAGAAACGCTAATGACGCGTACGCAAACGCCGCTGGGGAGCCGCGTGATTCTCACGCCGATGATGCGGTAATGGAGATTTCAGGAAGTGGCGGCGATGGCGGCGCAAAAAAGAGGATGGGACAGGCGAACGGATTCCACGTGTCCTCTCAGGACCAGCGGGTGGTGTCTGATTGCTTGCGTGGCGACGCGGCGGATGTACTAGGGCTGCTGCAATGGACGGAGGCCTTTTCGCGGCTCGACGTCGACGAGAAGATGAACGAGGCGGCGCAAAGCGACGACAACGCGCCGTTCCGCGCGCGTTATGAGTAGTTCGCGACGGAACTTAAGTTCCGGTGCGCGTGCACTTTTGCATAATTCAGTTCTCTCGATTAATTAGGACGGGCTCGTTGCCGCGACGTAACAAGCCAGGGTTCCGCGAGCTTCAATCTTAGATTGCGCACCCCATTTCCGTTTGCTTTCAACGTTAAGTGCAATAAATAGAAATGTAAATATAAATCATATTTTTTTCAATAAGTTTATACTACAATCTTTTATTTCTTTCATATCCCCCCCTTTGATGATCTTTTTAAGAGAATATAATGTAAAATTTATTGTTTTGGTATACGTAAATGAGGAAAGATACTAAAAAATTTGAAAAATTTACATACCCACATAAATTACAGTTATCAATTATAAATTAAATACACGGGGATTATAATTCAAGATTATAAATTATCAAGGATAATTTCAAATTATTAAAAAACACAACAAAACAGAAAAATGTGTCGTTTAGATCGTTGTAATTTTTTTTACATTATTATATAAATAACAAATAATTATGATATAAAAATATTTTCGTAAGAATGCATAAATTGGCAAAAATATCAACGCAATAAAATAAATGATTTAATAAATCTTCTCATTTTTAAAATATATTGTATTTAATGGTAAAATTATAAAATTTCACAATTCAATATCATTTAAATTCTGACTTAATCGGATTCGCATAAATAATTTCCATTGCTTCATCCGGTACGGTTTCTTTACGTGCAGATCAGACCCTCCGCCTCTTGAAATTATTCTCCACTCCCATAAACACGTTCGCCTTCTCGCACTTACGATTAAAAGCGGATAGGGAATCAAGCGCGCGGGGCCGTATTCACAAAATTACCGTATACGGCGCGCGGTTAGCTCGCCTTAAGAGCTTTTTTGATCCCCAAGACGATCGGGCATTAATCCCCGGCCAACGCACCTGTCGAGAGGCCAACAGTAGGAGGAAGGAAGGGGGAGGAGGAGGAGGAGGAGAAGGAGGATAAGGTTGGAGAACGGCTAGGTCGTTCAATCAGACACGTGTACTTACGTGTACACCGGCATGCATCCCGCATGGACTCTCGGCGCTTCTTCCTTGGCCAAGCGGACGAACTATCGACCCGCCGCGCCGGGATATGCGTGCCTACCGGTCACGAAGGCCCGGAGGCTGTTATTTGACCACCGGCGAGATCTCCGAATCGTCGACCCTCTATCTGATCATTCAAATCGCAGGCGTCCTGCCGGTCTAATCGGCGCTTCGTACGCAACGCGTCCAGTATCTTTCGACGAGGGAGAGTGGACTCTCCTCTTTGTATTGTGAGCAGGGGAGAAATTCGAATCCGGCTGTACTGCCACATCGAAGCCGCGATTATTGGAGCATCGGCTACCATATTGTGCTACTACCATCGTCGATAATGCCCGCAGGTAATGGCAGACCCCGTGGCCCTGATTACCTTCACGCTGGTGGAAGACACGCGGACGTAGTTTAGCCTCGGTTACAGCAGCTGGTCGTGCCGTGCCGTGCCATGCCGTGCCGTGCCACTTTCCTGACCCGCCGATCCTCCTGTCATTTGCTCCTGCGGACGTTCCGCGTGCTCTTCCGCGGACGTTGCTCGCGTCTAACGGAATACGAATAATGAGCGTTGAATGATGCCGGTCGAGTTAGAGTCCGATGTGCGGCTCAGTGTCCCGCCTCCTTGTCGAGGTGATCAGAGACCGCAGTCGTGTGCATTTTCTCAGAGATCGCTGTGAGTCAGTCTCTGGTAGACGATCAAATCTTGCCTCGAGATAATTTTATGCGATTTACCGTACCAAATTATATTTTTAATCCTAGAAATCCGTGGCATCTAAAGCCTGATCTACAAAATATACTCTTTGCTTCCTGTTTCTTGCTTCTTATCTCTTGCCTTTTTCCCTTTATCCAATCGTTTTACTGTATTTCTTATTACGTTTCTTATCACATTCTTTCGAAGTTTGTCAACTTTTTTATCTCAAGCAATGAGGAAATGAAGAAACAGAGTAAAAGGCAAAAGGTAGAAAGGTAAACAGAAAGTAAAGAGCACATTGTAAATTAAGTTTAACACAATCATTAAAAGCATATTTAATTCCTGGCATCATTTCTTCAGTAAATTCCACATTCAACTAACTTCTCAAATCCTATTCTTGTTTCTCTTTTTCTCAGAAAGACAAGAAGAAAATGTTCTTTAACAGTATAGACGCGGCATTCGCAAGTTGATTATTTCTAAATAATTCTGATGGAGGATTTTGTAATCTCGTATATATATCAATTGCTTCGATAGATCAGAACTATTAAACTTTCGTTAGAAAATGCAACAACGACGAAGTTAAGACGGGATTGGCATTGGTAGCAGACGTTGCTTTTATTTATGACTAGATTCCGCTGACTACTCTCCGAGTTCGCTCCTCCTTGACCCTCTCCTCTCGTTCCCGCCGAGGTTAGAACGATCCTATCTATGCGAGACGTAGCCGCGGATCATTCCCTTCGGGGTCTCCTGCACTATAAAAGATCGCCCTATGGTTGTATATTACTCACGCCACCGTGTTTTCACTTGGCACGGCGATCGGCGCCGATATCATAACTCCTTGTCGTACCGCCGTTCAACCAGCAAATCTACCCGGCGACGAGGCCTCCTCCTGGTAGCGATAGCAATTCTGATATAACCGGCAGCCGTTGTAAGATGAGGACGAACATCACCGGCATGTGAAACGAAGGTCTCGTTGACTAGCCTCAAGCCTTATCGCGTCTAAGTGTGACGAATTTTTTGCATTTCGCCGCAGACCTGATATAGTGATTTGAAACTTATGCATCAACTAACATTATACTGATATCATTAATTATCATTAACGTCTTGTGTCAGTAATCATTTTTTTCTACAGGAAGGAAAAGAATATTAACAAAATAATTCGAAGTAAATATTAAGAAAAATATTAAAAAAAAATATTAATAAAGAAAGAGGACGCGTTGAGGTAAGATTAAATTATGTTAAGACTTCATAATTAAATGTATGTTATTCACACGAAGAATTTGATCTCCTAGAAAATTCGTGTTTACAATTCTAATAATGGAACGCCTCATAAATATGTCGCGAAGCTTCCGGTAATGGAAGGTCACCCGGGAAGTGAGTGAAAATTCCACAATGTTAGCGCCGTTTCACACATTGAGCTATAATCCGGGACGCTGCGACCATCCGCGGCATCCGAGACACCGAAATAGATGGTTTACAGCCTCCCTTAAATACGTCAACGTTTATGCATGGATTCCCGAAAGTAAATCGACGAGGAATGTTTTCGTATGACGGCGGCCCCGTCACGAGTCGAAGCCAACTTAAACGCCGAGAAGCCAAGCAGCCTACCCTCCATCCGAAGCGAGATCGCCGGTTATTATTAATAACGCGAAGAGCGCCTTTGTTTACGATGTCACGGTCTTTTACACGTGTGGCTTTATGATACATCGATGCGGTTAGTCTTGTTCGTTTTGGCTTGCAACAACTATGTGAATAATAATTATTTCGACGTTGAAAGATCGACATGGTAAATATAAATCATACTTCTAGATTTCATGTAAGTAAATTCAAATATTTAATAGATAGGTATTCTACATATATTCCTAGTTTTTTCTTGAGCAACAGTAATGATAATGATATATCTAATAATAACAAAATAATTTCTTTTTTACCAGAGGATCAATTACTATCTTGAAACGAGGTGAAAATGTATACAATGAACAAATTTACTAAAATATATATTTATGATTTTATTGGTCAACACTTGATGAGTTTGCTCAGTTTTCAAGATACGTAATCGATCTCCAGATGCGCGTTCGAAAATACTACCCGAGTGTCTTTAAGTATAATTTTATTCTTGTTTAACATTTGGTGAACGACAAGGATGAAATGATAGTCGAAGGTGTTCGGGTAGTGTTTTGAACGTAACCCGGAAGAGAACTTCAAATACGTTTGCTCATCAAGTTTATACGAAGCATTGCATGTCCAGCACTGCAGATGACAACTGTTCCCAAAGTTTTAACCCTAGCTCTCTAGGATATGCCCTCAGGTGGTGGACAGAGAGCTAAATAACGAGTGTCGCCCACTTGGATCTCACAGACATGAGACGACACGATTCCGCTCGAGTGGTCACGCCTCGATTGGGGTGCAAGTCACCCCGCGATCGTTCGCCGCAGAGCGCAACCGGCCGTAGTGACACCACAAAAAATCACGGCGCCGCTTTCCGGCCGGATATCTTTCAATTACACGTTAATATGATAGGCGGCGGGCGTAGCTGCAAGTCACCGCCGCGTCGTTGCTCGCAACATGCGCACCATACATGCATACACGTACACACAGACGTGCCACCCACACACATACGTCAGCGTATGCGATCGAGAAGTCCGATGTGCGTGTACGCGTGTGATTAATCGACGTCAACCGCAGACCACGGCGCGAATCTCGTCGAGGGAATCGCTCGGCGTTTCGTTGACACGTCGATTCGCGGTTTACGCGCGCCGAAATAGCCGCCTGCGCCGCGCAGGACGAAATTTGTACGTTTTGGACACGAAAAGATCGTCAGCGCGAAATGTTTGCGTTACGCGAGGCGGTTAAACGTGGTTGTAACATAATCGTAGAGCACGTTTTAGCCTAATCGTGTTCTGGTAGAAAGCCAACTCCTTTGGGGTTCCACGTCGGAGTGTTTTTTCAATCGTGATGTCATAGGGTTGTACGCACAAAGTGAAACTTACACATATAATCTTGGCAGTCACGAGTGCCGACTTAATTTTATGGCGATCACGTAACGAGGTTAAGAAAACTAACAGATTTCAGAAAGAAAGAGAGAGAGTGAGAGAGGGGGGAAGGAGAGAAATAAACCAGTTTCACCGATCGAACATCGCGAGAAAAACGTTTTCATTGTACCAATAAGAATAAAATGCATTTTGATCATACCAATCAGAATTCTGATTATTGTAAGTAAATTTTTAATTATCTCAACTAATAGTTGATAGATCAAAGTATAATACAAGATATTAATAATTCATGCTGAGAAAAATATCATATTGAAAATGTGGATAAACGAGGAGTTTCTGATTATATCAATCACATTTCCAATTATTACACAACTAGAATAGCAAATTAATTAGAAAATTTTGTTTGAGAGTGTCAT